AGGATACCCGATTCCATATTTCTGGAGTTTGTGGAGGAGAATGCGATGGTCTAGACGGTCGAATGCCCTTGAGAAATCCAAGTAGGCCGCGTTGACTCCTACACCAGCTTTCACAGATTCCGTCCAGATTGCAAGAGCAATCAAGAGATTAGTGGTACAGGACCGATTTTGGCAAAATCCATGTTGCTCCGGAAGGAGAATTTTGTTGTTCTCCAGGTACCCCATCAAAGCCTCAGCTACAATGGACTCTATAATCTTGGAGATCACAGAAAGTAGTGTTATTGAATGATAATTTGCTGGTTCAGCACGACTGCCACTTTTGCATATTGGCGTGATGATTCTGTGTTTCCACATCGTGGGGACGCGCAACTCTTTCATACCTTGTTTAAAGAAAATTGCTACTGCTCCTGCCAAACTCATGGCAGCAACTTTCAGCACCTTCGGGCGAATGCGGTCCGCACCCGGGGAGCTGAATTCTCGCAGCGACATCAGTCTCTTCAGTACGGCTGCGGAGGTAAACGATATGTGATTAAGTCCTGATGACGGGGTTATCTGCTTAGACAGGATGTATGGGGATTGCGCGCTTTGGAAGGTACCGTCAAATTTTTGTCCAAGAAGGTTGGCCGCGTCTTGTGCGGTTTGGGCTAACCCGTATGTTGTGTGCAGAGCAGGAATACTGCGCTTAACACGGCGCAAATTGTTTACGTGTCTCTATAGCAGTTTGGGATTGGAGCAAAACTTTTCCACTAGACCTTGTTAATTCTTCAGTTTATCCTCCCGGACGAGTTAGATGTCCCTAGAATTTTCACAACCACTCCGAATAATGATGTGTCACAGTTTTCTTTATTAGTAAGCTGGTCGAACTGCGTCACCGTCAGGCATCCGAGTCTCGAGATAGAATCATGAGCACAGAAATGTGGCTGAGCGGTGAAATCGCCGATGCTAAAACCGCCCTAATCGTTACGTCACTTCTCCGGGACGACAGAACTGGTAGGCGTGGGGTAGTGATCAGTCATTATGATATAAACCTTCGTTGTGTGCTCACGGATAATAATGAAGTGTGTGTCACTGCTCTCCTTTCGTGCAAATTGTGGTTGAAGGACCATGATACATGCCTCGTGTCCGTAGTTTGCCGCCTACCCAAATCCACTCCGGAGATGGACCACAGACTAATGTGGGCATTTCGCATTGTGACACATCCGAAATGCACCCATATCCTCATCACATTCATGCTTTGGAAAGTCCCGCAACCGAGGCAGAGCACTTCAAGGCCTAGTTACAAGGGTTAAACTATGAGACGTCCCTATACAACCACGTCACCGATCGCACCGGGTTGAGAACAGCGAATAACGCATCATTGTTAGATCCAGTGCTTACTAGCACGGAGCTCATGGTTGCTGAGCTAAACGTATGCAGTCCTCAGGGTCGAAGCGATCAGGTGAGTTTACTGTTCGATTACATTTGATACGTCGAATACCCCGATGTGGAGCACGAAAAGATGCAATCTATTACGCACTATCAGGTTTTGTCCGCTTTCGTTGCAAATACCAGTTAGACATTCATGACTGAGTTCAACCCATAGATAGCCTGAGTAAATTTCTTGAAAACCTTCACGTCACTAGTCACTAAAGCATCAGAGCAATAAACTTTGCACCGTCCCACCAAACCAAAATCCTTCCTGAGATGCCGGACACGAACATTTATGGCTTTGTAGGATCGGACAAGGCTCTTTTACAAAAACAATCCCAGCGCAAAAACTTGGATAGCGTATGTAGCTCAGCGCAATCGTTCGGTACAGTTGGTCTGTGAAGACAAGTTATCACAGCAACAGGAGCTAGCGAAACGATTCTGTTCGGACCACAAGCTTCTTTAGAGACAAGTGCATGGACTACAAAAGGTGAACTGTGGGATCCCGCCATGCACTAGTATTGGTGGACAATCACACCCAGCAAAAAGGCGGTCAACGCCTTAAGGGCCCAGTACTTGCTTAACTTCTAAGGGTTACAAGCCACAAACATTAGACTTGTTACTGTCACAAGACCCACAGTGTTATCCAGCTTCACATTAATAGCAGAAATGATGCTGAAAAACTACTATACTTGCGTACACACGGTTCTTCTGGAGTGGAAAACATGTACCTTAAAGTAGAAGTCAAGCACCTATAATAACCACATGCCGGATGCTTTCAGCATTGTTTAGACGAAAACACAGTTTCGTCAACGTGGAAACTTCGTCAGAACTTGCTAATTACCTTTCGGTAACGCTACTGCTTGTGCTTACCAAAGTCATGGAAGCGATCATCGCAGACGTACTGATGGGATACCTAATAAAATGTTGGTATCATGGCGCTGGAGTAGCATGGATTTTGTAAACATCGATTATGTACCACAAATCTACTGATAACATTTGACAATTGGACCCATAGAGTCGACGAGGGTACAGTAACCGATGTCATTTAATGGAGTTTTCGAAAACCTTACATCGTATAGTTCGTCGAATCCTCCGGCACAAACTGCAGCTCCACGGTGTCGGAGATGCAGTCATAGAATGGGTTGGTAACTTTCTCGGTAAACGTTAGTTGGAGTTTAGAGTCAGAACTTCTACTTCCGATTCGCATTGAAGGGAATGCGACGTACCACAGGGTTCGATACTTGGACCTCGCTTGTTCTTAGTTTTCATCAACGACCTAGCGAGAGGTATCACCTCAAATTTTTTATCTTTCGCGGATGGCATTACATTTTGGTCGGAGCTCAAATGAACGGAGGACCACGAGATCCTCCAGCGCGACCTCGATGAGGCCTGACGTTGGTCAATGAGGAATGTACTGCCATTCAATGTGGACAAGGGCCAAGTTGTCCACGTCCGCAATTGACATGTCCGTCTATACAAACTTGGAGCGCACGATATACAGACCAGCTCTCAGAAACGTGACATCGGTGTGTTGGTAAAGGACGACTTCAATTGTTCCAGTTAGTCAGAGTCCGTTTCAAAATGAAGTAACAAGCATGTTGGTCTCTTTCGGAGGGCATTCAGGAGTTTGGATTTATCCATCTTCTCTCTTACGCTCAATGTCTACTCGCGTTCCCACGTCAAATACGCACTCCAGGCTTGGCATGCTTGGCTGAAGCGTGACCTTGCAGCTCTCGTAACTCCCCAAGGCAGAGCAAGGAAATTTGTCAAGGGATTGCGCAACTTTCCTTACCCCAACGTTCCACCTTAAATGTCGCGGCCTATCTTGTTCCTAGAATAGTATCTGCACTTGACGCGGAATGCAAGAGCATGTGGCTTCCCATCCTCGGTTGGTGTGGTGCTGTTGGAACCACTGACAGGGCATTTCTGGTTAGGCTGTTGTCTACGAACGGTACCAATTGCGAATTTCAGCTTGATGATAAACCATCTCATAAATTGCTGTTGAGTAGTAAAAGCCCTCTAATCCTCCTGATAACTGCAGTGTTTTAGATGAGAAAATCTTCGCACCTCTTCCATTTTCTTCACACATTTAAGTGCTTTTTATTGTCTTCCACCTTATTGGATATAAACACACTGATAACATCGATTCAGACAGCATCACTCTAATAACTCTTAGCTTTGAAGTTTTCAAACTGTTTCTGTAATCCTGAGCTGTCATTGTCCTGATCACCTGCTCTCAACTATTACAAGTGCCGCGAGTAGGTTTCTCGTGTCCCATCCGCTGATATAGTTCGGACCTGGTACAACCACTCCGCTCCCGGTGGTGAACGAATACCTCATACTCAGTTCATACCTGTGTCGCACGACCGACACAGGTTGATGTAGCATACTGCGAGGTGAGAAGACTAACATTTTATACCCAAAATCCAGAAGGCTTTAATTATCCTGTATTTTCAATTCCATTTTTCTGACTGATTATAATGCTCACCTATCATTTTCCCTGCTCTTTCTTGACATACTCTACACTGGTTGTACGTTCCAATAAGATAATCTCCAGGTACAATGGGTTGTCCAGAGAGTTTGTTGCAAGCTTTATTTTAACTGCGCCTTTCGGAGTACCTATAACCATTTCTTACACTTCTTACGTAATAATGACTTAAGGAAAACACATTTACATCTGCGAGTCCTAATGTAAGCGCTCTGTTTTTCTGCCCTGCCTCATTTCATAACTACGTTAGTCCAACAACCCACGTTTTATCGTAAGCTTCAAGAATATGATAAAACGAGAGCGCTTGACTGATATCAACGCATATTTCACTCCACACCCATTACTTGTAATTTCTGGTCAATGCCATGTCTCATTATGTCATTAGTGTAGAGTCACATCGCTGAGACTGTACTGTTCGGGGCCCAGACCCTAGTTTGAGCATTGCCAAATTAGACCAGTGCATAATTGGTTCAAGACCTCAAAGGCCAGACAGCCTATCGATCCGCGCCGGCTGCAGACGTCGGTATGTCACTTGCTGCCTGTCAGTCTGACTAGTAGCGCAATATCCGTTCATTAGGATGAATTAGGATGTGCAAAGAGGAACCGAAGCCGTTCAGTTCAACTTCGTCCATTCGAAACCTATGGTTTAATACCAAGAACCACAAGCCGCGGATCAGTGCGATCAGGTCGACCGTGGGTGCATGCAGTGTAATACCCTCCACCGCGTACATGCGTTGGTAAATGTGCGCTTACGCGTTATGTGGTTACTTTGTTGCACCAATCAGGAATCCAGGTTTTCTCTGGTTTATGATCGGATTGAGTGCGTTTGAGTTCTCCACACACTTTACCACCGCCGATATAAATAGTCCTATCTGACTGTCTACATATTGTGAAGTGATCACAATTGTGCCGCTAGTGAGGATTTTCCGATTTCAGCTGCGGACAGGCAGGCTGGTAGTGTTTGCTTAAGGTCAACAACCTTCACGTTTCTGCCATTCACAACGCCCGAACCAATCCTGGATTCATGACAAAGGTTCAGTCGATACAGTGGAAACCTTGTTGAAAACAAGGTCTCCCTACCAGCACGGTGTGTCCTTTATGTATGTCAGACTACCAGTCGGGCCTCAGTACTGGAAATTCAGGCACATCAAGCACGCTTAGTAACTGTTGCATCGACGCCAATTCAGAGTACAGAATTCACAACTGTGATCGTAACGTCTTACCTACTTTCAAACGATTGTCCACACATAAGCATACAAATCGACTTGTTCGGAAATTAGCACTGCACTTAGCAGTAGCGTACTTACCACGATCTCCAAAACAACGTGACGGGTACTTCGCGACGGGGAACCGCTTAATCCAGATGGAGGGGAGTCAGCAGTGTTTGAATGCACTCAATCCGCATTCGGATGCTGTTGCGAACAACATGTCTCCCTTTACCGATCGAGAAACGGTTCTTGTGCCAACGTCAGAACCCCTACCGGACGCAGATATTGTGGATCGTGGTGTTCCTTTTTGTCCCAACTTTATGTCTCAGGTGGGTAAGCAACAGCAAATACCTGAAGGGACTGTGATTATCGACGGCAAGACGTACAGCGTGTCGGAATTGCTCTCAGTGATTACTCAATTAAAGCATGAAGCGCACATTTATGCGGATAGGATAACTCGGCTTGAGCAAGAGCTGCAGCAAGCCAAAGTACTACTTGCTTCGCGCGATCGTGATATTCATAAACTAAGATCTGTTTTGGACCTAAAGGTCCCCACCACGGCCAATCACCTTCATCTGGAATCCAAGCTTGACACTGTGGATGAGACAGCTGCAGTCGGTTTCGCTTCTGAAACACTGCATGGGAAAAGCCTACTCCAGCAAGCAGAGGCACACAGAGTGAAGAAGCAAGGTGTCTCCGGAGAGAGTCAAACAGCTCAACGGACATTTGGATTGATACATCATCCAAAAGATGCAAGGTAAGTCACTTAGTTTCATAGGGTTTGTGACTCATGCTTTTTGTAAAACGCTGTTCTCCGTTGCTTTTTCCAAATAACAGCAAAGTTACATTAAACCGGAGTAAGATGGTTGATCGTTTTGTTATATTTGAAGGTAAGACATTAGTTGAAAGATAACAAAGGGTATAAACGCAGCGTTGATTAACACTGATTACAGTAGGCATACACAAATTTCGAAAGGCACGCTTGTTCGGGCGCTGCGCCGGTTTGAGAACATGAAGGACAATTAAGTTATGCGTTGCATCGGAGTTTACTAGACTATCGTCGTAACGGGCAATATAGCCATGATGTCGCAGTTTGAAGAGGTCTGGAAGGTAGTTTCCAAAATTACTGCGTTCTCTTGCACAGTTGGCGTTATGGATTGGTCATAGAAAGTGCAGCCGAAGTTCTGCTTAAACTACTTTCCTGGCATGTGGAAGATTAGCTGATTTCGAATTTGCTGTAACGAATTCTGAATTAATTGGTTTACGTTCGGTTACGGTGGATTACGATTTACCTAAAATTTACTTAGTTCATTGCAATTAGATCACAAACCCCATAGTTTAACCCTTAATCCGCCGAAGCGTCAGACGACTGTCTCGTCCTCTTGAGACTCGTCATTTGTACGTATTTTTTTCTCTATCCCATGAGGTAACCTAACTCAAAACCGTTAGTGACTTGCACCACAAACCTGCAGCTCATGCCTCTGATTCATGGGCGATAGACTATTGACACCAGATGAGAATCAGTACACCAATCCTTACCCGGGGGTCCTTGATTATGTCACACAGAGTAGTGGGTTGTATTTACTGAGCGGTTAAAAATAAGTACATTCTTGAGGAGTCATTGCTTTCCGCGGTCTCATTGAACCGTATGTGTTACTGCGGGAGATATCTCAGTCCAACCAAAGGGGGCAACACGAATGGCCGATGAATTGATCCCACAGGTCCGTCCCTACTATCAAGAGGAAGGTTACTCTTGCTTATCTGGACGGTATCGTTTCAGTTATCTTCGCGTCACTCTTATGTATGCTGGGCTTATATTCAATAGTTCAATAGTGTATGATGGGATAAAAAGCATTGGCTTTACAATACCCATAGGATGGTAAATGCAAAATAAATAAAAATCATTAGATTCCGACATGGAACTGAAATGCCAATAGTCTAAACCTAGTACATCACACCACAATGTGTTGTTTGTCACTCAGATGAATGTCTAACAATTGTTTGAAGGCTGTAATGTTCGGAGCGTTTACCACATGCGTTGGCAAGTCATTCCATTGTGAACAGATTCTAAGAGAGTAAAAAATATTTTCTACAGTCTAATCGGGAGTGTTGGATTATCAGCTTGAGGTTATGACCTCTCGATCGCTTATATGAGGCTAGGGTGAGCAGCGATTTGCACGGGTGATCGCTTTCCGTTAATATCCGGTATGCGAGAATGAGATCTCCGAGTAGTCGTCGGTATTCGGAGGAAAACATTCCGATTAAACTGAGACGCAATTCATAATTGAGACCAGCTAATCCGCGTGTTGCCTTCGTAGCTCTTCGTTGGGGCTGCTCTAAGAGATGAATGTCCCGTTTTAACCATGGGCACCAAGCCTGGACGGCAAATTCGACGTGGGGACGGATATAGGAGTTGACAAGCATGGGTACCAACCCTCGTTCAATAACACCAAAAGCTCGCGTCAAAAGTCTCAGATTCATGTTCGCCACGTTTGCTGCTTTCAAACATTGGAGCGAATTCCCCAGACTTTCTTGCACAATGATACCTCAGTCTCTTTCTGGGGTCACGCTCCGTAAAACGTACTGCCCCAAGAGGTACGTGTTGGTAAGATTGCTGCGCAATGACAGTAGGTGGCACTTGGCAGGATTCAGGGGGAGGTGGTTTATATCTGCCCATTTGTTGATTCGATCCAAATCATTCTGGACGAGGGCACAGTCTGATGTTGAGCGAATAACTCTTCAGATATTTGCGTCATCTGCAAAAATTTGCATCGAAGATTGAATATTATCCGGGAGGTCGTTAATGTAGACCAGAAAAAGGAGGGGACCAAGGACGGATCCTTGAGGAACACCGCTGGTGCGAAGGATAAACAATCTGAAGAGACAGCTAATATCGCACCAGCCAAATTATTGTGGCTGTACACATCTTACCTGTTTCATTCACTAAAATATTAACTGGCAGATGTTATTCCTGAAACGCACTTCGTGCTATACTCTTTTGTGAAAGGCTCTTGAAAGACGGAAGGTCTAACGTTAAGGTCTATTCTTGCTTGGGTGACTTCATTACCGCATTGTTTGAGGTTTAAATACGTGATTACTCAAATGGACCAATATGGGCTACGCTGTTCACCCCTTGTTTTCTACGGTTTCAGCCAAGGGTAATAGACCTTGACTGTGCCGTTGACCTCCTCATAACGGAGCATTTTGTAGTGTTAGGGTTGGAGGCAGCAAGACCACAAAACACCTCGAACTCAGCATTTTGTTTCGGGTATATGGTTGGCGACATCCGGTTCCGAATTTGCCTGTCACTGTGGCCAGTCACAGGACGCCTGCGCCTACAGAGGGACCATGGGTGGCTTGCGCTGCACCACCCACAGCTCCGACCACACACCTCATATCCAGTGTAAACCCGAAGGAATAAGACCGGGAGGCATGTGGATGGGAGCCACGTTTCATCAATGGAGCCGGCCCACACTCCATCACAGGCGAACACAAGCACGCTGTATTTGGGAAATCAAGCGCACACAAGGCGGTGGCTGGACCGTAGTCCGCTCCACACTGAGTGCATGGAACCACTCTTCGGGTATATACTTATATTGTAAGTCACTAAGTTGCCTTTTCGGCACATAGATAAGAAGTTTACACAAAGTTTCTTTCCCCATGCATGCAACCATTGATGCCGAGATCTCTGTAGCCTCCACCGTAGTGTTGTCCTGCCGTGCGTAGCACGGTTACATATATATGAAACCAATACCAACAAGTGTTTCCTTGCCCGAGTGAAAATTCGCTCTGTTTCTAGTTTACCGACATCTCTAATATTCCCGCTTTAGAAAAGTGTTTGTCACTCCAGCGGGGCGGTGTCAGCACACCCTGATCTGTGTCCGATGAACGTCAGAAAGTAGTCACAACAACACATTTTTTGGTCACTCACGGATCACTCAGAACAGAAATAATCAACTATTCCTCATACAGATTCGCCGATTCATCAACTTTGTATGCCATACCTTTTCTCTCATTCTGAAATATTCAGTACTGGTCACCCATACCAAATACGCTCGTGTGGTCTCATGCAAAACATGTATACTGCACTTTTCCGATGAACACATGAGGGTGTTTCTAACTGGCAACTCATGAACAATAGTTCAAGGGCCGGGCACATCTATGTATGCGTATAATGTATTGAAAAGTGAGAATCTCTATGATCCGCAGCTGGGGATTCTACTCTGGGTGTTCAATGAGTCAGGATCTGCCCATCGGACACACCTTGGTATGTGACCACAGGAATGATAATCTCAATACTGTATACGTATCCATTCAGATGTAATCTTCTTTACAATGCATCTCAGCGTGTAGTGCTTACAATGTGTTTATATTTCAAATGGTAGGAACTATTAACAGATAAGCACTCAGAGGAAAATAGGATATTCCTCTCTCGAAAACTTGGACTTTCCGACTAGTTTATGGAACAATGGAACAATGGTTTATCACTGGTAAAAAAATCATTGCTTAACAGTCCCGTGGGATGGAACTTATTGCGAAAAGTGAATTGAATGATAAAGTGCAAATCGTTGTGGTGGACTAACCATAGACTTATGTAGAATGGCGGAGGTGTTCGCGTATTAAACGTATAAATCCATAAATCAATTCGTTGGGAGTTTGGAAAGACACCCTTTGATTGCGTTTTGTAGCCCCTGGTTAACAAGTTATAAAATGTAATGTAAATGTTAACTATCACCAGATTGGGATCAGAGACGACATAATTAGGGAGGGCGTTCCAAGACTGGCACACGCGGTGGGAAAAGAAATTTCTACAGCATTCAAGCCGGCTATATTGTGTTTTCAGTTTCAGAGGATGACCTCTTAGTTTAGTGTTGTGGTTCAATTCCAGCAGCGGACGGCACATATGCTTTGGGTTCTTTAGAATTTTGTAAACCATTATCAGATCCCCCGCAAAAGCCGATATCGACTGCTGTAGATTCTTAGAGATTTCAGTCTAAGCCGTCGAACACTATGGCCTTTAGGATGTCAGACGAATCATCTACCCCCGGGATACCCAGTCTCAGTGGGCAACGCCCACTTGCCCAAAATGCCGTCGGCTTTTATTTAGCATAAGTTTATTTTACTTCACTGAATTGGGCAAGCCGGTGATGCACTATTCCGGGGTATTTCCAGACTCATAAAGCTGCAGATGACGGCGTTTGGTATAATTAAATTCATAATGTGCAAGATAATGCTGATACCGATCTCAAAAGAACAGTCCCTGTTTTCAAACAGAATAATTCAGACACAATTGTTTTGACAACCTAAGTACCATATGTAGTAGCAATCAGTGGTTCGTCTGTCAACTGGTTTTTCACACACTGCAAAGATCATGCATGTCTCCAAATATACATTTTATTTCCTCTTTGTTTAGAATCGTTTCACGACAAGGAAAGCGAATCCGTAGAAAGTAAAACACGCCTACAGGGGATCTGGTTGTCAAGATCTAAGTTCCGAATACTAGAGATGCTGAAGAACTTAACGATACCTTTTCGTGGTTCAGTCCTGCTCCATGGAGGATAGTTATGTCTTTTAAACCGGCTCTGTCAGATGGGTATCGTTCGAGCATTAGCGAGTGTCTGCGGCGCTAAATTATAGCTTTGCTAATCGGCTTAGTTCTTTTGCGCCTTTTCGTTTATTGTCTGCTACTACTGATTCCTTAGGCAGCGGCTTTGGAAGTACGTGAGACCTATTCGATTTGTCATCCGAGTCGATTTT